AACCAGGAAAGTCTATGGACTCTGATAAACAAACTGAGGGTTCAGAGGGGAGGAGAGTGGGGGGATGGGTTAGCCTGGTGATGGGTATTAAAGAGGGTACATACTGAATGGAACACTAGGTGTCATAATCAATCAATCATGGAACACTACATCAAAAACTATGTAATGTATGGTGATAAACATAACATAATAAAATAAAAAAAAATTCTCATGACTACTTTGTATATGATGTCCTAGGAGTTTTGGGGGAGATTATCAGGGCAAATAAAAATTCTTTAAGATTTATTTTATTGCTGGCTCTCCAAATCTGATGGGCATAAAAATTACTTAGGGAAATTGAGGGAATAGATATAACCAGGCCCCAACCAAGTACTAAATCAGGTTTTCTATTTGGGTATTAAAGAGGGGAGGGGGTTCCCATGTCTCTGTAACTGTATAAAGCTGCTCCAGTGTTTCTTTGCACTCCATTTTGAGAGCTACTGCCTTATATGATACCACCTTAAAAAGTTTTGTCCCTAAGAACCCAGCAGCATTGACATCACCTGGGAGCTTGTTAGAAATGCAGAATCTCAGGACTCACCCCCACCCTAAAGAATCAGAGCCTACATTTTAACAAGATTCCTAAATGATACAAATATGCACTAAAATTGGAGAAACTCTGCATTAGAGGACTATAAGAATAGAACTACACGGATTACTCAATGCACACAGAATTGTTATAAGTATTTAAAAGGTGTATGATACATACTAGCTTAAAATGTATAAGATATAATTTATCGTTTTAATTGATACACAAAATTTAGCCACCGTGATTATTATAAATTAGGTGCAAGGTTTTCAGAGTAGTCAGCAATGTAAGTGTTATGATAAATGGCTTGGGATTTAGCAAAGATTAGTTCCCTAAAGACAAATGTGATCTGAGAAGTAACTGATATTGTTACAGCACAGTATCTAAGTGGTGCTAATGATCTAAATCTTAATTTTGGTCACGGTCAAATGTGAGACAATGAAGCACTAAAGAGCCAGATAGGAGGTGATTTCCCTTTAGAAGGATTAAGTGGAAGAACTGGAAACATGAGGGAAATGTTCAGGGTTAGAAAGAGGAATCACCTCTTTCTAAAGTAATTACATTACTACTAAATGTAATGCTTTACATTTGCTATCTCAGTTAATACTCATCAGAAAATCCGCACAAGAGCCAAGTACTGTTAGCTATAATATTAAGGATATGCCCAAGATCTGGAGTGTTAAGTTTTTCTTCCTTTCTTTCTTTCTTTCTTTTTCTCTTTCTTTCTTTCTTTCTTTCTTTCTTTCTTTCTTTCTTTCTTTCTTTCTTTCTTTCTTTCTTTCTTTCTT